GGTCAGGATAAATTATGAGGGATTGATTACACTATTGTGGCTATTAAATGTTATTTACACTTGAATCAAATAATGCACTATGGTTATTACTTTCCTTGTAATTGTTTTCCTGGAATTATTGCCCCCCCCCCTTTTTTTTTAACTGCTTAGTGTTCTATGTACTTAGCCTAGGGTACTATCCCTTACTTTAAAATATCTTATCATTTCCTGTCCTGGTTGCAGCGTCGTTTGGTGCACCAAAGGTTTGCCAATTTGATTCTTGGTTAGGGCACATGCCTAGGTTGTAGGTGGATCCCCCCCCCCCCCCATTGGGGGTGTGTGTGACGCAACTGATTGATGTTTCTTTCTCTCTCCCTTCCTCTCTCTCTAAAAAGCAATAATAACATGTCCTCGGGTGAGGATTAAAATAAATAAATAGATAGATAAAATATCTTACCATTTCCTATTTTCCAAACTCTCCAATGTAGCAATTCCATATTTTCCTTATTGATCTCTCTTCTGCAAGCCTTCAGCATTTCTGCTCTCACCTGAACTGTTGCTTGTTGCTCTGTAGGTTTTTTGCTGCTTTACCACATTGGTTCTGTTTGTTAGGTCCTACATCTTTCTTGGTTTACTTCCTTTTTTCAGTACAAGCTCTAATTGCTTCCTAAGATGGATGCATGAGAAATATCCCTACCCCTTATTTTTTATTACGTGTCTGAAAATGCCCTTTTCAACCCTAATACTAGATTAATCGTTTGACTGGGTATAGGATCCTAAATAAAAAAATCAGTTTTACTTGGAATATTTGCTTTATTGTGTTTTAGCATCTAGTGTTGCTGTTGAGAAGTCTAGGGCCATTCTGATTACCAGTATTTCCATCATGTCTAACCTGTTTTGTTTTTCCTTTCTAAAAGCGTTTAAGCTTTTCATGGTCTCCAATATTCTGAAGTTTTACAGTGATATCATATCCCTTGATGTGGCTCTTTTTAAGAATTTCAGATTTGCCTTGAAAAGTAGCCCTATTGAAACTTTAGTTCCTCTTTGCTTTTACAAATGGTGCTATTGTAAATGTGATAGATCTATCTTAGGTCGCCCAGACTGGTGTTTCCATAGGGTAGTTTCTAGGAGTGGGATTATTGGGTTACATTTAAAAGGCAATTAAATGAATTGGCAGTTATTTTAGGCTGAACCATCATTTACTTGTTTTAAAATCTTCCCTAATCTGAGTTTATGTGGCTTTCAAATTAACTTTTTCTAGAATCTGCCGAAGTTTATCTCAGACCTTTAGCAGGTATTCTTGGATATGAATTAGGCCCAAAGTTCTTTCCTCATCAGTTTATTGGTAAATGTACTCACTTGTGGTATGAGAGTCTGAGGTTCACTCTCAAACTGGGCGGGGGTAGATGTATGTTTTGAGAATTTTCTGGCTAGGTAAGAATGGATTTCATCATTGTTTCTTAGCTTGAGTTTGACCTTATAGAAGCCATTCCTTTGTGGGCCTCAATTTACCTATCTGTAAAATACAGGCTGAACTAGATAATCTAATGGGTAGGAGATTGACAAACTTTCTCTTACAGTGCCATATAGTAAATATCTTAGGCTTTGGGGGCCAGACTGTCTTTGCTGCAGCTACTCAATTCTGCTATTGTAGCATGAAAGCAGCTGTAGAGAATAATAAACAAATGAGCATGGTTGTGTTCAAATAAAACTTTATTTACAAAAATAGGCAGTGGCTGGCCATAGTTTGCCAATCCCCTTCTGAGCTCTTGACATTCATTAATCTGTGACTTGGATAATTAGGTTAGGGTAAAAGCTTTGCATTTTTATCTTATTTACTTATTTTTTTAAATATATTTTTTATTGATTTTAGAGAGGAAGGGAGAGGGAGAGAGAGATAGAAACATCAGTGATGAGAGAGAATCATCAATTTGCTGCCTCCTGCACGCCCCCCTACTGGGGATCAAGCCTGCAGCCCAGGCATGTGCCCTTGGCCAGAATCCAACCTGGGACCCTTCAGTCTGTAGGCCGACGCTCTATCCACTGAGCCAAACCGGCTAGGGCAAAAAGCTTTGCATATTTATTTATTTTCTTTTTGGGCTTTGCATTTTTAAAATAACATTTCTGGCCCAACCGGTGTGGCTCAGTGGTTGAGCGGGGACCTATGAACCAGGAGATCACTGATCCATACCCTTCAGGGCACATGCCCGGATTGCGGCCTAGAGCTCCAGGAGGGGGTGTGCAGGAGGCAGCCAATCAATGATTTTCTCTCATCATTGATGTTTCTTTCTCTTCCTCTCCCTTCCTCTCTAAAATCAATAAAAATGTATGTTTTTTAAAATGTAAAGTTCTTACTAGACTTTCAGAAGTGTCAGAGAGAGATAGGAACATCGATGAGACAGGAACATCGTTGATTGGCTGCCTCCTGCATGCCCCACACTGGGGATTGAGGCCACAACCCAGGCATGTGCCCTGACCAGGAATAGAACCGGCTACCTCATGGTTCCTGGGTGGACGCTCAACCACTGTGCCACACTGGCCGGGCTATTGAGTGATTTTTTGAATGTTGAACTAGCCTAATTCCAGGAGTTAAACTCTACTTGGTTGTGATGTGTTATACTTTTTATATCTTGCTGAATTCTCATGCATGGTGTTTTTGAGGATTTTTATGTCTGTGTTTTTGGGGAGTTTTGTCTGTAGTTTTCTTGAAATGTCTTATCTGAGTTCAGTATCAGAGTAATGCCAGCCTCAAAATGAGTCAGAAAGTATTGCCTCTTTTTTTTTCTGTTTTCTGCAAGAGATTGTATAGAATTGTAATTGTTTCTTTAAAAGTTTGGTAGAATATTCCAATGATGTCATCTGGGCTTGGAGTTCTTTTTGTTGGAAGATTTTTAACTAGGAAGTTAATTTCTTTAATACATAGAAGGCTATACTTTTTTCATTCTTTCTTAAACATTTATTGTGGTGACATTGGTTAATAAAATTACATAAGTTTCAGTTGTACATTTCTGTAACACATCATCAGTATATTGCATTGTGTGTTTACCACCCTAGGTCAAGTCTCTTTCCATCACCATTTATTCCCATTTACCCTCTTCTGTCTCCCCCCACCCTCTTTTCTCTTTGGTAATCACTATACTATTGTCCATGTCTGTGAGTTTTTAAATATTTTTGCTTAATCCTTTCACCTAGCCCCCCAACTCCTCTCCTCTCTGACAGCTCTCAGTCTGTTCTCTGTATCTATGAGTCTGTTTCTGAGGCTGTACAGTTTGAATGGACTTTGATTATTCATGTCTTTTAAGAAATTAGTTTCTTTCATGTGAGCTCAATTTATCAATATAAAAGTGTTCATAATATTTTCTTATGCTTTTAATATCTGTAAAGTCTATAGTAATGTTATCTGTCTCATTCCTGATACTGAAATTTGTCTTCCAGTGTTAATCCATTTAATTGATCTATTAAGAGAAGCAGCCTTTGGGTGTGCTAGTATTGATTTTTGTGTATACTTTTGTATTTCATTGACTTTTGTTCTACTCTTTTAAATAGGTGGATGTGTGCCTAACCGGTTTGGCTCAGTGGATACAGTGTTGGCCTGCGGACTGAAGGGTCCCAGGTTCGATTCCGGTCAAGGGCATGTACCTTGGTTGCAGGCACCTCCCCAGTAGGGAGTGTGCAGGAAGCAGCTGAATCGATGTTTCTCTCTCATCGATGTTTCTAGCTCTCTCTCCCTCTCCCTTCCTCTCTGTAAAAAATCAATAAAACATATTTTAAAAAAAAAATAGGTGGATGTGTGGCAATGAACACAGGAACACCAAAGTATAATAACCACTTGTAAACGTTTGTTCTACTCTTGGTTGTTTCCCTCCTGCTTGTTTCAGGTTTAATTTGCTCTTATTTTGGTTTCTGAAAGTAGAAACTTACCTTACAATCATTTACTTGAGACTTTTTTTTTAAAAAAGATATATTTTTATTGATTTCTGAGAGGAAGGGAGAGGGAGGGAGGGAGGAAGGGAGGGAGAGAGATAGAAACATCAGTGATGAGAGAGAAACAGATTGGCTGCCTCCTACACTGGGAATCGAGCCCACAACCCAGGCATGTGCCCCTGACTGGGAATCGAACCATGACTTCCTGGTTCATAGGTCAACGCTCAACCACTGAGCCACGCCGGCTGGGCAAGACTTTCCTTTTCTAATGTAGGCATTTAGTGCTGTAAGTGTCCCTCTATGCACTTTATTTATTTATTTATTTTTTTAAAAATATATTCCATTGATTTTTCACAGAGTGGAAGGGAGAGGGACAGAGAGTCAGAAACATCGATGAGAGAGAAACATCGATCAGCTGCCTCCTGTACACCCCCCACCGGGGATGTGCCCGCAACCAAGGCACATGCCCTTGACCAGAATCGAACCTGGGACCCTTGAGTCCGCAGGCCGACGCTCTATCCACTGAGCCAAACCGGTTAGGGCTCTCTATGCACTTTATAAGCTGCATCCCACAATTTTTGATTTGTTGTATTTTCATTAAATTCACAATATTTTCCAATTCCTATTGTGACTTAATCTTTGATCCATGGATTGTTTCAAAGTATACTGCTTAATTTTCAAACATTTAGGGCATTTCCCAGATATTTTTCTGTTACTGGTTTTTAATTTAATTCCATTATGGTCAGATAACATAACAGGTATGACTAATTTTTTAAAAAATCATTTGAGATTGTTTTATGGCCCAAAACATTGTCCATGTGTATTTGGAAGAAAGGTGTATTCTGCTGCTGTTGGGTAGTGTTCCATAAGTGTCAGATCAAATTTGTTGATAGTGTTGTTAAGATCTTCTATAACCTTGCTGATTTTCTGTCTACTTGTTCTATTGATTACTAAGAGAGGAGTGTTGTTGTCAATCTCCTGGAAGTTCTGTATGGTTATGCTTCATGTATTTTGTGGCTTTGTTACTAGGTGCATAAACATTATGGTTGGTTGTTTATGGTTTTGTCTTGGATATTTGGCCCCTGTATCATTATGAAATGATCATCTTTACCCCTGGTAATATTCATTGCTTTTAAAAATCTATTAATATTAATGTAGCTAATTCAGCTTTTTTGGGGAATACTATTAGTTTGGTATAACTTTTCCCACCTTTTTACTTTTCATTTATGTCATATTTTCAGGTGATTCCTTGTTGTTATTTTTTTAATCCAGTCTTCTGACAGCCTCTTTTAGTTATTGTGTTTGGATTATTTACACCTTCCTTTCATATCAGTTCTGTTCTGATCATGCCTCACGAGGCAACCTTAGTTCTCTTGCTTGAGTTTCCACAAAAGTCTTACTTTCTGCTTGGTAGTAGGATATCCAATTTCTGTGAAGTACTAGTTTTCAAACTTGGCTGCATAGGAGAATTATCTAAGAAGAAAGATAAAAATACTGTACTGAGCTTCACGTAGAACTCTGTAAATTTGACACTTTTTAACAGCTTCCCATGTGGTTTTGCTGCACCTCCAGTTTTAGGATGGATTATTTAAGGCAGCTTCTCAAACTTTAATGAGCATATGAATCAACTGAAAATTTTGAGAAACTGTGGATCCTAATTTAGTAGGCCTGGGGTAGGACCAGAGATTCTGAATTTCTCTCATGCATACTAGGTAATGCCAATCACATGTTAAATAGTAAGGTTTGAAGGTAACTTCTGGAATTAGTGAATGTCTTCTTTTATATATATATATGTATATATATATATATATATATATATATATATATACATACACATACACACACACACACACACTCTCTCTCTCTCTCTCTCTCTCTCTCTCTCTCTCTCTATAGAGGTGCAGTGCACGGATTTGTGCACCAGTGTGATCCCTTAGCTTGACCTGCGCCCTCTTGCAATCCAGGACCCCTTGGGGATGTTGGATTGCCAGTTTGACCGGGTGGCTACGGGGATCAGGCCGAACCGGCAGTCCGACCTCCCCGAGGATATAGTAGTGCATG